TCATGTCCCCTCTAACTTTTCTGTCTCCCAGTGACGTGAGGTTTAATTCCTATAGTCACTCTGTGTATGTGGCTAGATGTGTTGACACAGTGCCACACACTGCTGTATTGACACAGTGCCTCACACTGCTGTATTGACAGTGCCACACACTGCTGTATTGACACAGTGCCACACACACTGCTGTATTGACACAGTGCCACACACTGCTGTATTGACACAGTGCCACACACACTGCTGTATTGACACAGTGCCACACACTGCTGTATTGACACAGTGCCACACACTGCTGTATTGACAGTGCCTCACACTGCTGTATTGACACAGTGCCACACACTGCTGTATTGACACAGTGCCACACACACTGCTGTATTGACACAGTGCCTCACACTGCTGTATTGACACAGTGCCACACACACTGCTGTATTGACACAGTGCCACACACTGCTGTATTGACACAGTGCCACACACTGCTGTATTGACACAGTGCCACACACTGCTGTATTGAGTGCCTCACACTGCTGTATTGACACAGTGCCACACACACTGCTGTATTGACACAGTGCCACACACACTGCTGTATTGACACAGTGCCACACACTGCTGTATTGACACAGTGCCACACACTGCTGTATTGAGTGCCTCACACTGCTGTATTGACACAGTGCCACACACACTGCTGTATTGACACAGTGCCACACACACTGCTGTATTGACACAGTGCCACACACACTGCTATGTTGCAAGCACACCTAGATGAATACAACCGCGGGGCTGGTGTAGGACAACAGGCTGTTGTGGTTATCTTAACCTACAACCCAACCTCCGCAGGTTGATAGGCCTCAAGCCAACACTATCCATAAATTGATATCGCAGGATATCATTACGTTCAAGGGAGCGGCGACCAGTGGTCCTCAGGGTCACGATGAGCGAAAGGAGTGGTTTTTACCCGCTGATTACCGTCATTCTCGACTGGGGGAAAAAAGCTCTCTTTATATCCTGTCACGAGCCGGCCTCTTTGGGGTATTAAGTAACTTTTCTGCTCCAACCACCAGGCAGGAGACATGATAACACATCTTCATTTTTGTATTGTTTTATTTATGCTAGCGGTTGTTAACCGGTGTTTAAATATATATATATATATATATATATATATATATATATATATATATATATATATATGACACAGTAACATTGTGTGACAGTGTCAGACCACGTAGGAAGGATTGAAACAGGAATTTCCTTAAGTACTTTGTTATTTAATAAGACATCTTCAGAAAGCCTTCTGAAGATGTATTAATAAATACCTTAAGGTTACCGCTTCCCCTTACCTTGCATACCTTGGACTCTCACATGTGTATTTAACCAAAAAAGTGTCCACTGTGTTTAGTCTTTACCTGAAAGTGTTTCAGAGAGAAGAACGAGACGTTGTAGAATTTAAATCCTTCAAATAATTACTTGAGTTTCTTTTCCATAAATTTGGATAACTTCTCTTTTTAATATTGATACTAAGAATATAGAAACATATAGCAAGCTTATACTATAAGATCAATAGCGCCAGCAATGCAGTACATTGTAGTATTGAACTACATATATTTAAAGAAATCCATGCTGCTCAATATATATATATATATATATATATATATATATATATATATATATATATATATATATATATATATACTAGAAAGGGGATCCGGTAGTGCCCGGGTCTCTCCGCCCTCCTTTCCCCCCCTCCCCCCTCTCCGCCAATTCCCCCCTCAATAAAGTAAAAGAAGTAAAAATGTTATAATCAAAGTTTTTTGAGAGTTTAAGGGTTAGTATTTTGATAATTTTGATTTGTTATTTTGACATGGGCAGAACAAAAAATAATAAGCAATACATATGAGCCGAGTCATATGTATTGTGAGATGTTCCTGGGGATGGCGTTGACAGTATCACTTGGCACTCTATTTTTTATTTTGACACAACCCGCCCATGTTAGGTGCGTACCCAACAGTAATTACTGGAAAAAAAGGGTTAAGCGAGCCCTAAGTTTCTGACCTCCAACCTTTTAACAGAGACGTTTCCATTTCTAAAAATGGAAAAAAGTAAAGTTTTACTTCGGGACTTTATGAATTTGTAGAGAACTTAATGGTCGAGGAGTAGAGTGAGGGGTTGACCTGCAGAGTCAAAGCTCAATTCCCTGATGTCACCGCTGAAATAATATCCCAGAATTTGAGTTTAAATCTAAGACTGAGACTCAAAAGTTTTACAAAGTGCACGAAGCTCTCTTTCTGGTTTTATTTTGTTAATGTTGATGGGTTATTTTAGAGTAGTGAGAACTATGTGGTATTGGTGATTTGTTTCAGCTTTGTGTGGAAATGTTCACATTCACCACACGCGTGCGGAGATGAACAAGCAAAAACCGCCACACTGAACACATCAGACAATTGTTCTTAATGTGGTAATGTTATTACTTGGTGTGGGTGGCGCCAGCCAGGGGGGGGGGAGGTGTAGCTACACCCGCCACTCACACACCAGCCAGTGTTGTCGCCACACCTGCCACACACACACACACACACACACCAGCCAGTGTTGTCGCTACACCCGCCACACACACACACACACACCAGCCAGTGTTGTCGCTACACCCGCCACACACACACACACACACCAGCCAGTGTTGTCGCTACACCCGCCACACACACACACACACCAGCCAGTGTTGTCGCTACACCCGCCACACACACACACACAGACCAGCCAGTGTTGTCGCTACACCCGCCACACACACACACACACCAGCCAGTGTTGTCGCTACACCCGCCACACACACACACACACACCAGCCAGTGTTGTCGTGTTCCCTCTCTCTCTCGTAATCTCTAATTCTGGCGTATTTTGTTCAACAACTTGAGCCGCTGTGGTAAGTGCATAATATTATTAGAAAGACAAAAAGTATTTGTAGTTTTAAGAAGAGTGAAGCACTGAAGGTTTACGCCCTCCAGCTCCTGGGCCCCTAAACGCTGAATTCTTAACTTCCAGCTCCTGGACCCCCTTATCTCAGCCTTCACGTGTCTGGGATGTATGTGTCCTGACAGTCCCTTACGTCCTCAGTCCTTTGGAGTCCTCCTCAGTCCTCTTCAGTCCTCTACGTCCGTCCGTCCGTCCGTGCGTCCGTCCACGCATGACCCACGCGCTCACCACACTTCTACACTATTAAAGAAGCGCCATGTAACCTTTATAGATAATCCCCCCTGCTATAAATCTGTCCGCTGGGATTAGTCGGCGGGTGTCCTGGCTCCTGCCAAGTGGGCAGGGGATTACCACCAGTCTGGGGGGATTACTTTTGCTTACCTGCTGGTTGTAGTGCACGCGCGCGCGCTCACACATCACCCCCCCCCCCACACACACACACACACACACGAACTGAAAGGTATGAGCTATGAGAAGAGACTACGGGAATTAAACCTTACGTCGCTGGAAGACAGACGTTACGGGGGGACATGATCACCACATACAAGATTCTCAAAGAAATTGATAGAGTAGATAAAGACAGGCTATTTAACACAAGGGGCACACGCACTAGGGGACAGGTGGAAACTGAGTACCCAAATGAGCCACAGAGATATTAGAAAGAACTTTTTTAGTATCAGAGCAGTTGACAAATGGAATGCATTAGGAAGTGATGTGGTGGCGGCTGACTCCATACACAGTTTCAAGTGTAGATATGATAGAGCCCAGTAGGCTCAGGAACCTGTACACCAGTTGATTGACAGTTGAGAGGCGGGACCAAAGAGCCTGAGCTCAATCCCCGCAATCAAAAATAGGCGAGTACAAACAGATGAGTTCACACATTGACATAGATGAATTCAATGAAAAGTGTTCCCAGGTGATTTAAACCCTAAACTCGCCAAGTGGTGGACGCTCGCTAACAGGTCGGCGCTGACACTCGCTTAACTCTCTGTCAAAATAGTTTCTGTACAAGTCTCTGGTAATGGGTATTAGGGGGGGGGGTGACGGACTACGCCCTAGAGTTGGTCAGAGACAGACAAGTGCGAGACAGGGAAAGAGGGAGAGAGATAGAGGGGGAGAGAGGGGGGGGGGGGTAGAGGGGTGAGAGGAGTGAGTGAGCATGTGTGGCACGCAGCTAACATGCCCAAGCGGCTCCGGGCTACAGGTGCCCACCAGGAGCCTCACATTCACACGTGGCCGTAATGGATGCCCGCGCCACCTAGTACACGCCTCGCCCACACACGCCCACTAACACTCATAAGCCTACCACCACGCCTACACGCCTCTCTTACTCTCACCGCAAAGGTCGTGTGTGTGTGTGTGTGTGTGTACTCACCTAGTTGTGCTCCCGGGGGTTGAGCTCTGGCTCTTTGGTCCCGCCTCTGGTGTGTTTACTAGTTGTGTTTACTAGTTGTGTTTTGCGGGGGTTGAGCTTTGCTCTTTCGGCCCGCCTCTCAATTGTAAATCAACTGTTTACTAACTACTTTTTTTTTTTGTCCACACCACACACACACACCCCAGGAAGCAGCCCGTGACAGCTGACTAACTCCCAGGTACCTATTTACTGCTAGGTAACAGGGGCACTTAGGGTGAAAGAAACTTTGCCCATTTGTTTCTGCCTCGTGCGGGAATCGAACCCGCGCCACAGAATTACGAGTCCTGCGCGCTATCCACTAGGCTACGAGGCCCCTGTGTAGGGGCCTCGGTGTAGAGGTGTAGGTGGTGGTGGTGGTGTAGAGGTTCCTGAGCCTACAGGAATCATATCTACATTTGATTGTAGTGATTGATTGTGTGTGTGGGTGTGTGTGTGAGCGTGTGCGTGCGTGTGCGTGCTCACTCTCACAGAACTTCATTTAAAGACCCATTTCCTCCTGCGGGAGCTCGTGTCTCCAATTGAACTTTTTCCCAGCGTTTCTTTCAAGTTGCCCTCGAGGCTTTCCTCAAGTGTCACCCTCGAGGCTTCCCTCAAGTGTCACCCTCGAGGCTTCCCTCAAGTGTCACCCTCGATGCTTCCCTCAAGTGTCATACTCGAGGCTTCCCTCAAGTGTCACCCTCGAGGCTTCCCTCAAGTGTCACCCTCGAGGCTTCCCTCAAGTGTCACCCTCGAGGCTTCCCTCAAGTGTCATACTCGAGGCTTCCCTCAAGTGTCACCCTCGAGGCTTCCCTCAAGTGTCACCCTCGAGGCTTCCCTCAAGTGTCACCCTCGATGCTTCCCTCAAGTGTCACCCTCGAGGCTTCCCTCAAGTGTCACCCTCGAGGCTTCCCTCAAGTGTCACCCTCGAGGCTTCCCTCAAGTGTCACCCTCGAGGCTTCCCTCAAGTGTCACACTCGAGGCTTCCCTCAAGTGTCATACACGAGGCTTCCCACAAGTGTCACCCTCGAGGCTTCCTTCAAGTGTCACCCTCGAGGCTTCCTTCAAGTGTCACTCTCGAGGCTTCCCTCAAGTGTCACACTCGAGGCTTCCTTCAAGTGTCACTCTCGAGGCTTCCCTCAAGTGTCACCCTCGAGGCTTCCCACAAGTGTCACCCTCGAGGCTTCCTTCAAGTGTCACCCTCGAGGCTTCCTTCAAGTGTCACTCTCGAGGCTTCCCTCAAGTGTCACCCTCGAGGCTTCCCTCAAGTGTCACCCTCGAGGCTTCCCTCAAGTGTCACCCTCGAGGCTTCCCTCAAGTGTCATACTCGAGGCTTCCCTCAAGTGTCACCCTCGAGGCTTCCCTCAAGTGTCACCCTCGAGGCTTCCCTCAAGTGTCATCCTCGAGGCTTCCCTCCACAAGTTAGAGTACCCAGGGCGGCCAAAGCTGTAAACCCCCCCCCCTCCCTCCCCCACCACCCCTCCTACCATCTCCCTCCCATCAAAGCCCAAACGTTTCTGGCCTGAACGTTGCATGCTTCCCGTCCATCCGCGAGGTGCATAATTATCCCTTTTTCGTAGGGTGGGGGGCGGGGGTGGGGGGGGGACCTGAAACACGGGTTTTATGACGCAGATGACAGTGTTTGGCTTAAGCGTCAGCATCGCTCACCACAATGCTACCAGAGATAATTGTGTGATTTTTCCAGCGCCCCCCCCCCCATCTCCACTCCCCCCCCCCTTACGGTGGTATGGGTGATGAGTGACAGGTGAGGTTGATGCTCAGTGCTACAGGTGAGGTGGGGTTAATTGTTGTGGAGCAAGTAGTTGATTGTAGTAGAGCAGGTAGTTGTTATAGAGCAAGTAGTTGATTGTTATAGAGGAAGTAGTTGTTATAGAGGAAGTAGTTGATTGTTATAGCAGCAACAGCAAACAGATGATTCTCATAGAGCAAGATTGGTGTACCACGAGGCAGTTAAGTCATAGCCTGGTGTCTTCTAGCACAAGTTGTGCTGGGCCAGTCTTCACCAAGCATTTACACAATCGCTTACATAACCTTTACAACTTTCAACAATCATGGCGACTTTGTTCACATTTATTAATCAGTTTATGAATCCTGGTCTGGCACTTAGACCTCATGTAACAATTGGATAATAGCATGTAAGAGGTGGTAGCCAAGTGTGAGTGTAGTGAGCCAAGTGTGAGTGTAGTGAGCCAAGTGTGAGTGTAGTGAGCCAAGTGTGAGTGTAGTGAGCCAAGTGTGAGTGTAGTGAGCCAAGTGTGAGCAAGTGTAACGAGGGTGTAACTCTTGTGCTAGTGTGGCAGAGAGCTTGCAGAATGTGGTTGTGGTGAACCATATGCAACCCGTCCTCGACTCAAGTCCATTCCATCCATCGGTCGACCCCACAGTTGCATTCATACATTTTTACATGCTGTTCATTCAAAACAGGAATTTTCTCAAATATAAATTAATATTATATTAGCATATTGTGCATATATAGGCATTGGTTAGGTCAGGTGTTTAGGTTCTGTTGGCGATTATTTGTATTTGTAGTACGTGGGTGAAGCTTCTACAGCGTTGTGGGTCGGAACAAAATTCCTCAGTGAAGCACTTGTTCCGGAAGTGTTCGGGCGAAATCAGTTGTAAGTCGTGTGTATACCGCTTTTCATTCATAAACAGCGGGTTTGGCGGGTTCATGGACTCACTATTGGGTCTTTGTTCGGGGGACGGGCTACCATACGAGCGTGGTTGTGGTGCACAGACAACCTTCCACGCCGTCGCTGTAGGACGTGGTCTCTAGGAGAGCTGAAGACCAGACTCCACTAGCGACGAATAACAGAGACCACTAAATGTTAAGTGACTTGAAAGTTAGGGCGCAAACGCGCACACGTATAAACGAATAATACACACACACTTGTATACACACACACACACACGCACATAAAAAGACATGCACACACACACGCCCGCGTACAGTTTCCTGAGCGTTATCTTGAGATGCTTTCGGGGCTTTAGTGTCCCCGCGGCCCGGTCCTCGACCATACCTCCACCCCCAGGAAGCAGCCTGTGACAGCTGACTAACACCCAGGTATCTATTTTACTCCTAGGTAACAGGAGCATAGGATGAAAGAAACTCTGCCTATTGTTTCTCGCCGGCGCCCGGAATCGAACCCGGGACCACAGGATCACAAGTCCAGCGTGCTGTCTGCTCGGCCGACCGGCTCCCCACAGTGAAGGTTGCCTAACGTGCGTGTAGCGTATATGGTGGTGTTAGCGCAGTCCCCCCTCACAAGTCCGGCAGTGTTAGCGGAGTCTGCCGTAGCGCGTCGCGGCGGCCAGCCGCGACGCGCTCTTCATTTCACGTTGAGAATTACCTTCACGTGTATTTGCGAGAGGGAACGTAATCAAAAGCGATCCCTTAATAACAGTAATTTGACCTTAAAAGTAAATACGGGCAATAACTAATAGTACGTGATACATTTAATTGAATGGGTCGGAAATTGAATGCCTAAATTATATTGTAGCGGGGCGTTTAGTCTCCATCCTGGCGGTCGGCGGGCGGGCGCGGGTAAAAATGTGACAATATCCTGGGCATTATTACATCCTGAAGCTCTGCGCTCGGCTCCCTACCTGAACGGTGGTGGTGGTGGTGTTGTTATCCTAATGGTGGTGGTTGTGGTGGTGGTGGTGGTGGTGGTGGTGTCACACAGCAGCGACCACCACCACACAACAGGGACCACCACCACACAACAGGGACCACCACCACACAACAGGGGGACCACCACCACACAACAGGGGGACCACCACCACACAACAGGGACCACCACCACACAACAGGGGGACCACCACCACACAACAGGGACCACCACCACACAACAGGGACCACCACCACACAACAGGGGGACCGCCACCACACAACAGGGACCACCACCACACAACAGGGACCACCACCACACAACAGGGGGACCACCACCACACAACAGGGACCACCACCACACAACAGGGGGACCACCACCACACAACAGGGGGACCACCACCACACAACAGGGACCACCACCACACAACAGGGGGACCACCTCTCGTCTGCTGATCCTATCAAACACAAAACATTCGTCACATAAGCACTTCCGCCATTTTATTGACGTCGACAGAATTCCAATTAAAGATCCATTCAGATTACCCATCGTGCACTCCTTGGCTGTTATATGAGTGGTAGTGGCTGTTATATGAGTGGTAGTGGCTATTATATGAGGGGTAGTGGATATTATATGAGGGGTAGTGGCTATTATATGAGGGGTAGTGGCTATTATATGAGGGTAGTGGCTATTATATGAGGGGTAGTGGATATTATATGAGGGGTAGTGGCTATTATATGAGGGGTAGTGGCTATTATATGAGGGTAGTGGCTATTATATGAGGGTAGTGGCTATTATATGAGGGGTAGTGGCTATTATATGAGGGTAGTGGCTATTATATGAGGGTAGTGGCTATTATATGAGGGGTAGTGGCTATTATATGAGGGGTAGTGGCTATTATATGAGGGTAGTGGCTATTATATGAGGGGTAGTGGCTATTATATGAGGGGTAGTGGCTATTATATGAGGGGTAGTGGATATTATATGAGGGTAGTGGCTATTATATGAGGGGTAGTGGCTATTATATGAGGGGTAGTGGCTATTATATGAGGGTAGTGGCTATTATATGAGGGTAGTGGCTATTATATGAGGGTAGTGGCTATTATATGAGTGGTAGTGGCTATTATATGAGGGGTAGTGGCTATTATATGAGGGGTAGTGGCTATTATATGAGGGTAGTGGCTGTTATATGAGGGTAGTGGCTATTATATGAGGGGTAGTGGCTATTATATGAGGGTAGTGGCTATTATATGAGGGTAGTGGCTATTATATGAGGGGTAGTGGCTATTATATGAGGGGTAGTGGCTATTATATGAGGGGTAGTGGATATTATATGAGGGTAGTGTATATTATATGAGGGTAGTGGCTATTATATGAGGGGTAGTGGCTATTATATGAGGGGTAGTGGCTATTATATGAGGGTAGTGGCTATTATATGAGGGTAGTGGCTGTTATATGAGGGTAGTGGCTATTATATGAGGGGTAGTGGCTATTATATGAGGGTAGTGGCTATTATATGAGGGTAGTGGCTATTATATGAGGGGTAGTGGCTATTATATGAGGGGTAGTGGCTATTATATGAAGAGAATAGTGGCTATTAGAAGAGAAGGGTGGTGGTTATTATGTAATAAGGGTGACTATTATTTTGGAGGGTTTGGAGCCCGACCTTCCAGCATGTTTCATGTGCACAATATTGGAGATATCTCTCACTTCTCCCTTCCTGTGAGTGCAGTTGATGCGCCTGGAGTCGTTCCCGGTAGTATAAATACTTTACTGGTTCCGTTTGTGCAGTAAAAGGTTCTGTGGACACTTCCAAAAGTCTGCACATGCATTGAGAAATCACGTGAAGGATCAGTGAGGAGGATTCGAACCTATGTTCTGGGTACTCCCAAGCACACGCCTTAGACCACTACACCACGACAGGGTCAAAAGGCAATACCACATGGGATTCAACTTAATCCTCTATCGGGCTCATTTTTTTTTCAAGCTCTGCCATCTTATCTGGTGTACAGAGGGGTCGTGGTGTCAAGAATATTCTCCATGCGAGATGGCGTCAGTAGAAGAGAGAACAGGCTGCTAAAATCACACCTGTACTCACACTGTAACCTTGAATACAGGTACTCATGGCTGTAGTGTCCTGGGATGACTAGACGGTGACCCGTCTATCGCCAAGACCGTCCTGGGGGGCAAAAGAGCGGTGAACCACACCCACCATCTGAGACTAATCGCCCAGAGATCCGTACGAGAATGGGCGTAGCGCGAGCCGCAGGTGACGTCTCTCTCTCTCCCCCTCACTCCGAGGAGCCGTAAAGTAGTTACTAATTACCGTGCAGGTGGTTGAGACAGGTGAGGAGTGCCTCAGGTGCGCCTGTGGGTGCCACCGCCGGGGGAGATGGCACTGCTGGTGTTACCTACCACCTCTTCTTCCTGTTTTATTATGTATCTTCTTTCATTGACAATTTATTTGGGAATATTGTTTTGTCGCGCGCTTCCCTGCCTTGCTTGGGCGTTCTCGCGCGTGTGCACACTCACCTTGTTGCGCGCGCGTGTGTGTGTGTGTGTGTGTGTGTGTGTGTGTGTGTGTGTGTGTGTGTGTGTGTGTCGATAGGACTGAGTTTTGAGCTCTTGGGTCCTGCCTTTCTAACTGCCGGTTTCTATTTTTCCACATGTGTGCCGTCTCACGTACGTGTGTGTGTGTGTTTTCGTTGTCTTGAGAAAGCTGTGCTTGGAAGACCTCTTTGTGAGCTCTGTGAATTGTCTCAAATGTTTAGTACATTATCGTGTCTCCGTTGAG